ATAAAATGCCAGTTAATATCTGAGGGCTGTCAATATCCTTATGACTTTGCCTTTTCTATTGTCTTACTCTTATGACGATCTTTAGTTCTGAAGGAGTAAGAGTGTGAAAAGCTTTATTTTTTTCCAGATATCTTTATATTTCTATTGTATTTTTTAGTTATGTAATATGTGCTGCAGATTTTTTGTTATTAAACATAATCCAGAAATACCTAGAAAGATTCTGTTTGAGAGGGCAAGAGACTGCCTAAAACCTAGGAGATATCTGTCCATGCTATCTGTGGACTCCTTTCTTGGATATCTGGGGCTTTCCCAAAGCTGTGAGAAGGTACATTGTAATATTTATTGAAGTAATTTGGATTACATAAAACAACATTCCCAGTCTGGATTGAGGATGAGTACAATATTTTCAGATCCTGCATGTATTTTCCTCATCTCAATAAAGCTGTGCTATGAGATTCACGTAGAAAATTATTTGCCTCTTGATAAAAAACCCATCAGAGCTATAACAATGCATAATTCTTCCTGGAAAGTTCCCTTTAGCTGCTGTGAAAATTTAAATGTCAGATGTTTGCCTGCCTTTGATTCTGGAGATACTTGTTAGGAGAGGACTGTGTCGGGCTAGTACTGACTGTGAGGTCTTTTACCCATGTCATGTAGTTGGAGACTCTTCAGAGACTACTCAGTGTTACACTACACTGTATCTTGAGGAAAAAAGTTGCAGATATATTCAAAAGAAAGGTGAAAGTGAAATTTATTTGATATAGTGTGCTAGGTGCCTGAAAAGAGATATAATACAGTAACTTAGTGAAGATTTGGTAAACGATTCAATGCGATCTGCACAATGTTGAAAAACTTCTCTGTTCATCTTCTCTGTAGAGATGAAACCATACCTAACACATAATTACACATGCATGCAGATTTCATGCTCCATAACTCTTCCCTTTTTATTTGCCTTTCTCTAATGGTGTGCATGGAATATGCCTTATTACAGAGTTATTCTGTTCATTTGAATATGTAGAAAAGTGCCTAATGGTAATGTTAGTAAGGCAAATAAGATGAAAATTTGTACATCTTTACTGTATCACCAGTGAGCATTTTATATACCAACGTTAAAAAACAAAATCTTATACCTCAAATGTACTTCATCTTTTTACAATCAACTAAGCAGTGGTACATTCCACCATAGCCACTGATGGGAACTTAAAAAAAAAGTCCAAAATATAAAGAGTTTAACTCCTTATTTGCCATTTCTGGTAATTGTTGGAACACGGGCAAGTTTATTAATTTAATAGGATAGCTTTATTTTACAAAGGTATGGAAAGTTTACAAAGCAGTATATAAACTTATATCATTAGTTGCGTTTGCACTAAATGTGATGTAATTTTGCGATTTATTCTGTAAATAAAATGACACTACAGATACTATTTGTAAAGACTATGTTTTACTTTTAGATAAAGGCACTGTTACTTCACTGTAGCTAGCCCTGCCCAATCAGATTTGTAAGAGGCTTTTTAAAGACTATGGAAGGAGTTACATGACTGAGAAGTCATTATTAATGGACCTCTGAAAAAATAATTTCAAAAGGCAGTAGGCCTCTCAGATTGTGTGAGTAGCCATTAGATCCTTTCTTCTGGAAGGGATGTTGCTTTTATGGTTTTATACAATTTACCCTGTCTCTTGAGCCCATCCCTCTTGTCAGTCACTGCCAGGTCTATGCGCTCTGAGTTCATTTCTTCCTGTTCACAGATCAAGAGTGTTAATGCAGCTGTGGTGGTCTTTGCAGAAGCAGCTTCTGACTCTAGAATGGTTATTTTATAAGCTGAACCAGTTCAGAAGGCTGAAAATGAAGCAATCATCAGATATTGTGCTCTGGATATCTGCATCTGTTTGGAGAATTTGGATGTTGCAAAACTAAATCTGAAGGACTTGACTTGATAGAACTTGTACTGGGAATGAAGATGAGATGGTCGTTGTTTTTCTGTCTGAGAACCTGAAAATCTTTGACAAGTTTATCTGTGAAAAATGTAATGCACTTTGAAAAAACTTTACCTTTTACTTAATTGGGCTAAGCTGGCTTATCTGAAGTTGTGCAGATTCTCTTTAATCAGATTGTCCACCTGTATTTTTGTCAAGTTGTAAAGATAATGCTGTATTTGAATTGCCACTGTTCATTTACAGATTTAAAACATGAATCATATTTTTGAGTACCTTGAGTGTGTAGAGCTGTAACTGTTCTATAATAGCTTTATGATCCTAATGATAAGTTTTAAAAATTTAAAGAAGTTGGCTCTTATATGTTACAATCACAAATTTAAAACCAGTATTTAAAAGTATTAAAAATTATGAAGAAAAATCTTGGCTTCTCGTTATTTTTAACTTTCCAATGTTTGGAGAAACTTAAAATATTTTACCTTTTAACCAATTTTACCTTTTAAATCATTAATATAGCTATATACAATATTGTAGTGCATGGAAAACATTTAAAAGGAAAGCAGTTGTTTTACTGAGGTTACTGAGATGAAAACCTGAACGCCACATTAGTTTATACATTGAAAAGATAATTTTGTGCGAGCAAGTAGAAGGGTGTTAAAAGGTGCTCCTGGTACAGTGTAGTTATAATATTGAGCACTCCCAGAGTATGTCAGCTCTTCATTTGTAGGGAATAACAAGATTGTGGGAACTTCCATGGGAAGAACAGCAATCCAGGACTAAGATGTGCCAAAGGGTAAACTTACAGCTTTTCCAAAGTAAGAGTAATATTTCATAACTGAGATGAGCTTCCATGAGCCCTTCCCCTTCTTAATAGGGGAAATAGGTGGTGCTTAATGGATCAATCACAATCCTACCTTTATTTGTTATACAGTGATTTCTACTTCTTTACGTAACAATCAGTAAAACTGTAGAAACCTTACAGGTACACAGGACTGGAAGAACAGTTTGAACTAAACGAAGGCATTACTTGAACAGCAACAAAACTTAAGCTCAGCTGTGTCAGGCATCTTGTAATATATTGCAAAAAATAGAGTCCTGAGGTAACCTCTGACCTTAGAGAATGCAGCTATTTTCCCTGGCATAAAGAAAACTCCCAAATTAAAAAAAAATAAAAAAAAAAAGTCACATTTCACATTCATGGTCCCATAACTTATGTGTATAATTCTAAAATTGCATAATTTCCATGAAGATGTTGAGCATTTCTGTTTAACTACAATATAATTTGACCCTGGATGACAAGCGATAATTGGGGCTATGCCATACAATTTACTGGTGTGTATTACTAATACTAACCATCTTCAGTCTCCACCATTAATAAGCTAAGTTTTATAGGAGGAGAAAAATACATTTTGTTTGAAGAAAGGAACACCTTTGAGCATTAGCAACCTCGAAGTGTCCCCATCTGTAGCCATTGATTCAGTAAGCTCTTCTCTTGCACACCTGCCTCTTCAGTGCATGGACTACAGCCAGCATAAGGAAGCCTGGTACTGTGGATTGCTGCAGTGTTCAGGGTTTAAACTAATTCTCCTTAAAATTAATATTTTTTAAATTATTTATTAATTTGGATTGATCAACAGTTGGACCTGTTGTCACCCACAAGACTTCCTAAACTTTTGTGTGCCAAGAGACAAGCCACAGACTGTACAAGTCTGTAGCAAGTGATTCTTAACCAGTGCTAAGAGTGGCAAAATATGACAGCAGCCCTGAGGATTCCGATTTCCTGGGGCAGGACTGCAACTCAACCATGGAGCATGCAGCTCTTAGGAAGTTATGCCCTGTATATGAAGGAATTCCAGCTCAGAGGCCCAGGATAGTGTGCTGTCTTTGTGAGGATGAGCCATGCCCAAGTATGAACAGAATTGTAGGTGTGTTTGTACCCTCCAGAAATTAGCTGTAGTCTAGGTAATGAGCTGGTGATGCCTCACTGCTCAGTCTTCAGCCCGAGGGTGCTCAAGTACTTGAGGCTTCCCCACGCCCCACACTAGAGCCTGTGGCAGTGGGATGTTAGCGCTGAACCAGTTAAACATGGAGCTGTTTATTTAAAACATTTTGAAGCTTTTTCTGAGAATGGCCTCTGCCTTTAGTTGTTTCATAAATCACTTGGGAGTGCTGAAGGGTGGCAACGTCTCTGACAGAAGCTGGTATACTTTAGCAGTGGTTAAAATTGTTGTCCTCTGTAAAGAACCTGAGAAATTTAAATGAACTCCTTTATCCTTCCCAATCTTTTTTTTGACTGAACTGTAATTGAAAACTCTCAAATTTAATTCAAATGACACTGAATTATTACTGCAATACTAGGGTAACTAACCATCCTACTATCAAGAGAAGTGCTAAGTAAAATCACCAGTAATTCAAATAGCAGCTGCTAATTTTTTTGTAATAATTTTTTTAATAAAAAGCTCTTAACACTTCAATATAGCTGTCAGCTGTGAAAAGTCCAGTAATAAAAAGTACCCTGTAATTTACTTTCTAATTAACTAAAACTGTCCTAATTAATTCCACTGAAAATAATGGAACATGTTAAAAGATACGAAAACCACTTGCAAATGTTAATATTGCTAGATTTTCTTCCACTTCTAACTTTGGTTACATCAGATGAAACAGTTTCCTTAACAAGTAGCTGTTCCTGTCACATAAGCTTTGGTGAAGAGGTGTACTGTTAGTTGCTCTTTTATACAGCAGTTTCTGTGTTTATGATTGTGTGAGACAGTACCTCCTGCATTAAAGGGTATTAACTCCATATATTACTGAAAAGACAAATTTTGGATGACTAGGTGCTCGAATGGTGCTCTGAAGAAACTTATGATAGCAGTGGGATCTGGGTACACAGAGGAATGAATTCCATTAAGTCTGACATTCTTAAAGTGTTAGGAAATAGCCTAAAAAGCCTATCTCCCTTGCAAGAGAAGGAAAACTATCAGTATTAACATTTACAGATTTTTTGAACAGTGCTAATTTAAAGTGTCCACTTCTGTTCATATTCACAAGTGAAAGAAAACCGCACTAACTGCAACTGACAAAACCGATATTTAGTACTTTATTCCCTTCTGTTTTGATTTGCCCACAAAAAGCTTTTTAGAAAAACATCCTTTTCTGAAACACCAAACCAGTGCCTCAATCGCCTAGATTTTAAGTCACATTAGTCTTTTGGGGTCAATTTTCTCCAGGTGTACTAGAGGCTTCAGCTGCTCAGCAAAGTTCCTCATGTCATCAGAAACAATGTCCTGTCCTCCTGGCGCGACCACGTTGAGCTCCACCAAGTAGGAGAGGGAGAGCGGCTCAATGCTCTCCGTGTTTCCCGGCATCAGTATGCGGAAGATCTTGTACACCATGATCTTCATGATGCCCTTGCGGAACACGTGCCCTTTGGCCACGAACTCGTGGTCCATGCGGAAGCCCATCTCCAGCAGGAAGTCCGTCAGGTTGTCGGACGTGGCGATGTCCACGCAGTTGCGCACCAGCGCTTGGCGGTTCTTGTCGCCTATTTCGGGCTGTCCCAGATAGCGCAGGTGCCAGGGCATCCCGCTCTTGTCCATGGAGCGCCGAGCGCGCAGCACGAAGGGGCTGGCCTGCTGCCCCTTCAGCAGGAACACCATCTCGTGGTCCAGGAAGGTCTCGGGCTCCATGTTGTCGCACAACCCGCGCAGGCGGTGCAGGAGGCTCTCCAGGCTCTGGTCCAGCACGCTCCCTGCGGAGACAGCGCCGCGATCATCGCCTCCCCCCAGGCCGAGCGGGGCTCCCCCTCC